GCTTCAGCGGCTCCCTCAGCGGGGAGGGAGGACGGAGCTGCCGCAAGGCCGCGGTGCTGGTAGGCAGCGGGGGGAGAGACTCGGACGCAGGGGCATGGGGCCAAACTGGCGTCTCGACCCCACAGGTGGGCACAGCCCCCCCTCCCCAGCCGCCCGCACAGGGCACGGGCACACGCGCGTACGCACACGTACACACAAACGCAGGAGTGCCCGCACCCCCTCCCCAGCCGCCCACACAGGACACACGCGTGTATACATACAAACGCGGGTGTGCCCGCACCCCTTCCCCAGCCACTCAGCCCCACAGGCAGGCACAGCCCCCCCCACCGGGCACGGGCACACACACACGTACACACAAACACAGGAGTGCCCGCACCCCCTCTCCAACCGGCCACACAGGGCACACACACGTGTATAGTATACACACAAGCACAGGCGAGCGGACACACATTCTGCCCGTACACGCTCCCTGCTGAACCCCCGCGCTGCCCTCCCACACACAGGGCACACTTTGCCTACAACCACAGCGGCAGCAGATGCATTGCTCACATGTGCGCACTGCACGCGCGTTGGATGCACCGTCCCCTTTTCCATAATGAATGCAGGGGAAAAGAAAGGGAATAGTGTCTGGCAAGGAAGTAAACCGCACAATAGCATGCAGGTCCCAGGCCACCAGGCTTTGTTTGGAGGCGAGTGTGGCTCCTGGTGCCATCTCATGAGACAAATTGTATTTAGACAAGTTAAAGCACCGGGTGTTTGGGATGTGCGAGGAACCCAGGCCCCAGTCCTGGAGCTGCTGACTTCAGACGAGCTCTGTCAGTTTGCAGAAGAAAGAGTTGTTTGTTCCCTGTCCTAAGTCAGCTCTTTCTGGGCCGTCCTCTGCACTGCACACAGGGAAGAGAAAACTCACCTGTCTGACAAAGGCTGCATCAGCCACCAGACCATTGTGTAAAAGCAAAACCTAATCCTCTCTTGTAGGATGTCTCCTATTGCATCCTGAGAATCCCTAGGCCAGTTGCTCAGCTGGTGTAAAACAATGTAATTCAGCTTACACCGACTATGGATCATGTCCACGAAATCAGAAAGGCCCCCAAGGAGCTGAATTCACTAGCAGAATTGTTTTTCAAAGGTGCTTTTGCTTCCGAATAATAATAATAAAAAAGATGCCAAGACATGGGACTGATCTCCCCTCCAAATACCATTTCCTTGAGACCTGGGGGAAGCGCTTTCTGCTCTAATAAATGCCTTCATGAATAATCAGTGCCTGGGACTTCTCATACAAAGGGGGAGCCTGGGAGCAACGAACTTCGGCGCACGCAGCACTTGGAGCTTGTGCACGCTTCCTTCTCACTTCAGCTTCACACTAGTGACTTCCACAGTTACTCCTGATTTACACCAGGATAAGAGAGAGAAGAATAAGGCCTAGTGAGGTTGTTCCCAATGTATGCCCAAGGCAAGTGGAAGAAACAGGTCCCAAACAATTGACCTGGAAGGAGGTGTAAGTGGGCCCCAAAGGAGGGAGTTGAGAACTGATGGCGAGAAGCAGAGAGAGCTGCGTAGGCAGATGAGAGAGGGGCATGTTCAAACACTCCTGGTGTGTTCACATCACCTTTAACTGTTTGATGGTAGATTATGAGGAGGATGGGTTGCAAGAGGGTTATGTCTGCTTTGAGACGGACTGTGTCAGTAGCGTGTGTGAGAGCGAGGAGAAGACACACAGCAATTAGTAACTTGCTCTGCATCTACTGTTTAGAAGGAATCCAAGCCTTCCTGCTCCAGGGCAGAAGCTAACCATCAGCTTCCCAGGGATTGAGAAATAAACTCTCAGGGCAACACTCGATCCTGCCCCAGCTGCACTGTGGGCTCCAGCATGGATGGCGTGCAGGGCTGATTCATTTACTGCCTTTGTCTGGTTCCCCCCCCCACCTCTCCCCCAAGCTGAAAGGTTCACTTTCACCTGCTGCTACATTGGACAGCAGCCTGGTCCTCTGCATTGTTCCTTGGATCAGGCCTGTTTTCTCCCAACCCTGCTGTCCCCAAGGCTTCCCACCAGAGTCTGGCTCCGGAGCATTGGTGCCTATTCTCCCTGCAAAACTCCATCTCTCCCATTAACTCTGAAAAGCACATTTCACTTGTGTATATTTTGCAACAACAAGAACCTGCCTCAACTCTGCATAAGCTTCAGAGGAGGAGGACAGTGGCTCTTAAAAGGGCGATGCCACACTCAGAAGCCACTTGGGGGTAATTTCCCCCCCCCCTCCTCCCCAAGCAGCCAGCTCCAATGGGCAGGGATCTCTGACAGACCAGGCTCTTTTTTTTTGCCCCTGCAGTGTGTGAATGTTCCCAAGAAGCAGCAGAACAAGCAGATCAACCAGGTGGAGCAACAGACTTCAGCACTGCTCAAATGGCTCTGGTGTTTAAACAGCTTTGTCTCTCCTTGGGGCTTCTCAGGGTCACTCAGGAAACAGGGCTGACAGGTAGAAATCTTCACAGAACAACAAAAAGAGTTCGTTCTCCTTGCTTAGCTCGAGCCAGAGAGAGCAAACAGACCTGCACGGACCTTAGCACCAAAAACAAAAGACTCACAAAGTGCTATTAACGTTTGGGGCCGATTCTGCAAAGATGCAGTGGATGCTAGACCCTAGCTACCATTTTGGTTAAGCCTGTAATTTGACAAAGAGATTGGGTAAAAGGAACTATTTTATACAAGAGGCAAGGATTTTGGGGGGTGATCTCTTTTACTTGAACAGCTGTATGGTTGGATGGGATGTCAGACAACCCGTCAAGCACAGTACCCCTTCCCAGCCCTGTTTTATAGGGGAATGTAGACATTGTGGAGATGGAGATGTTCGCACACAGACACACACACACACTTGCTACATGGAGCAATGGCCACATGGCAGTCCTCCATCAAGGAAAACTCCCACTGACTTCACTAGGGATTTCTTCCATGTAGAGTCAGTCTCTGCATATGGTGGGTTACACCGAGTCTCCATGAGCCCTGCAGGATCCATGGCGCACAGTGGAGCTGCTCTTTCTGTACCATCTTGTAGGAGACAGCAGAAACACGCATACAGCAGCTGGTTCATTACATGATCTTTGCCAGAAAAATACTAATTCCCCCCCTCCCACCTTTTTTTTTCTTCTTTCACTTATTTTTCTGCCTTCCATCAGCAAAAGGGCTTGGGAGAGAAGTTCTGTGCTGGAGCTGCACCACTCTGTTTACAAGTCCCTCCTCAAATTGCTGCACATGAACAGGGTCAGAGACCAGAAGGTTGTTTTCAGTTTCTCCAGTTTCTTGGCTCTGTCCTTTTACTGCCTCTTGTGTGTCACCAATCTCACTCTTCCCAAGATAGTCAGTCGTGCTCCCATCTTACAGTGAGATTCCTGCAAGCACGCAAGGCCCTGCCTACACCAAATCCATCTTAGGACTGGGGCCTTGATTAGTCACTTGCCCCTGCTGCTTGTGTGGGTCCTTCCCAGCAGCAGAGGAGAGAAAGACATTTTAAAGTGCAGGGAAGCATAGCGGCAGTACCCCCACAAACTGACAAGAGGATGCAGGGGAAATGTCTGAAACAGATTTGAAGTCATGGATTTGACATTTCAAATTGAAATTCTCCTTCGCACCTGTTGTATTCAGGGCTGCAGTGGGAAGTTTGGCAAAAAAAAAAAAAAAGAATTGTACCAAGCAGCTTGTTTAATTGCGCTCAGTTAATGGGGGTGCTCTGCAGCTATTCTGAGCCGGATCCTTAGCTCACATAAATCAGCAAAGCCGCCTTGTTCTTCAGCAAAGCAGTATCGATTTATCCCAGCTGGAGATTCTTGGATGAAATTCTTCCTCTGAATGACAAACTGTACAGAAGCCTCCCCAGAAAGAGTACATTTCTAAGTACGAGCTTCTCAGAACATGAGCCACGCCTGAGTCGTAAAACAAGACAGAGCTATGCTACCACGCGCACAAAAAAGGTAGCATAGGGCTTGGTGTATCATGCCAGCTTCACCCCAGCTAAATGATTCATTTCAGAGGACACCGCATTTCTTTCTAGAGCCTGCTGCCATTCAAATGTTTAACACTTGGAAGACATGGTGGTTGGTAGCATAAGGAAGGGAACAAATAATATGGACCTGGGGGTATATTAGAGGGTGCCAAATGAAGCCTCTCCCTGGCTCTCTGAAGTTTGCTAGTCCCATTTAACAGTGACCCACAAGTGGCTGGTGAAAGAGGAGGACAAATGGGATTCTGCTATAGTGGATATCATCAGCAGTGCACGCTTAGCTGGCCAGCACAATAGTATCATTATTTATCATTTGTACTGTCATGGTATCCAGGAACCTGAGTCCTGGACTGGGCCCCTGGTGCTGTAAGAACATAGAAAAAAAGATGATCCTGCCCCTAAAGAGGTGAGTTACAGAGAAGGGGCAGGCGGGTGGCAGCAAAGGTCTTAGATGAGGTCGCATTTGAAGTGCCCGTCTCAGCCTCAGAGGCACCCCGTAAGAAGCATCAGCTCTGGGTAGATTCTGTAAGGAATGAAGACTGCAGGTCACTGTGTTGGCATCAAAAACTAGGAGATGGGGGTCTGGTCTCAGAACCTGAGAACCTGTGAGTGGCTGCGGGTCCCACAGAAGTCAGGATTGGGCCCTGAGTTTTGGGTGGGTCTGGGTTTCTCTGCATTAAGAGCCCCCAGGCAGCATGAGGAGTGGCCTATGTGAACCACAGAAGAGAACGAGTTGGACAGGTATCAAAGGGAAGTGCTCTGTGCAGGGG